AAGTGACGAATATTCATAATAAATACACAAAATATAGTAAATTATAACGTAATCATACATAACGAAATTATTTCAAACTGCATATTAGATGCTTTAAAATGTTGGAAACATTTTGGAGAAAACCCCATCGGATCCCCCTTTTGCCCCCCTCGTTCGAATTGTCTAGAGCCGTCCATGGATGTAAATAATAAGTAAAATCCGCCCTGTAAGAGCAGAGTGCACTCCTCGAGGAGTTTATTCGACCCCGCATTCATCCCTCGGGGTTTTCGAGTCCGTTTTTACTGAGTGTAAAGACAAAACGAATTCATTTCTGATTGGTTACCGTATTTTAGGCCTCCACAGTGTCACCGACGGGAATAAAGATTACATTTTCACTAATTGCAAAGATTATAAACTGAAACGGACCGATGAATTAGGGGCACGGTAAAGAACGAACAGAATGAAAGAGGAAACTGAGATAGGAATTCGAACGAGCTGATCAAAGAACGAAAAACGTTCACTTAGTGCAATCTTTACTCCCATTTGTGACATCCATGAGCGGCGTTGTCTCAACTCTCCCGTTAAAGGGACTCCAGGGTTTTCAAGGGGCGGTATAGGATCCGGCGATGATACTAAAAAAAAACGCTTTCCAGCCACAGTGGAAACGAAAGGTAGATTTCGACTAATCGTTTCTATAAAAACAATTGCGCCTAATGAGCCTGACAGGTCGGAAAATCGTCCCCCTTTGGACTTGAGATTTTCCGGATAAGGGGTGGTTTTAGAGGGTAGGTGAATAGGTTGTTTTGGAGGCCACGACGAGACGAGTTTTTTGACGTATCACCGACTGAGATCGGACGAGTTTGAAAAATCATCCCCCTTTGGACTTGAGATTTTCCGGATAAGGGGTGTTTTTAGAGGGTAAGTAGGTCGTTTTGAAGGCCACGACGAGACAAGTTTTTTGACGTATTAAAAAATTATTCACATACCGGGACAATTCAAAGCCATCGCTATTTCGGACCACATCTGGTTAATGATGTCTTGACAGTAGTACTCCTTCAGATTCGTATCGTACAGAGGGGGTCGCTCCTTCACCAAAGCTATGATCTCTTCGGGGTCGATACTAGACTCGCTCATGGTGGAAACACCGGGTGCAATCTCTAAGGCTCAGGAGTTCAGGACGCAGGGCCAGGCACAAGCGGATCGTTACAAGGGACGCGGGGAACTGATCTGTTGGGTGTTGGACCCTCGTCGTTGGGCGTTGCACGACGGGGAGCAATGTCGAGAGCCTTTGTGTGTGACGTGTGCGACTACCTGCGATGGGGTTCCCCTCGTGGCCGGTCTCGGAGGGGAAGGAAGCGCGCCGACGCCATGGCGCGGTCCGCGTCGCGTCGGGTCGCGGAGCCCCCCGCTGCGTCACGGGAGGTTGCGAGGCATTCCAGGTATTCTGCCGTGCTAAGGAAAAACGCCGTATGAGCCTTCAGACGTTGCCAAGTTTCCTTCGATAAAAACTGAATTTACTGGGAAAATTGTGAATATTTTTTTCCAACATTTTCAGATCATTTTGTACGCAATATACTCTAAAATATCTGAAAATTTCAAAGAAAAATGTGCACAAATTTAGTAAAAAATACATGTTTTATCGATGGAAATTTGGCAACTCTCGAATGTTCATACGGCGTTTTTCCTTAGCACGGCAGTATTGCTATGCGAGGTTTGGGAGATGGGACGGGTTATCCCGTGAATGGCAACGTTGCAACCCTCGAGAGCGGGACTCAGCATCTACGTGGTCGCTGCCCCATTGTCTCCTCACTAGTGACTCTCGAAATTCCAACTGGGGATTAGAGAGCAGAAGCGAATTCTTGTTTTGCTCATAAAAATGACGTTACAACTCATATGCATTACCAGGGTGTCTACAAGTCCGGAAAGTCCGGAAAAAGTACTGATTTTCCCAGGGCGGTCCGGAAGTACTGAAAAAGTGCGGAAATTTTGCAAGAAAGTCCGGATTTTTTTCATTTTTGTCGCAATTTGAGTGGGAAATTCAAATTTTTCGAATTTCGTTAGTTGGAGGTATTAAAAAAGTACTGAATTTTTCTAGTGAGGAGGTACTGAATTTCTTGGGAATGTTCTGAAAAAGTACTGTAAAAGTACTGATTTTTGGCCAGCCTGTTTTAGGAGACACCATGATTACGCCCACATGCGAAAAACGTTTGAAATGAATCATTTCTTCAGCTTGCACAGACGTCGCGTCGGCCTCTAGGGACGATCTTTCTCAATCAAAATCAAACGTCCATTCTGGACATCTCCTTAAACTTATACTAGTTTTTCCAATTTAACGACACATCGAACCGAGATACGTCGTTGCGTAAAAATTACAGTTGGGTTGGGATGTGAAAAATCAAGGGAAGATAACAGAATAAGGCTCTCGGACTCACACGGCTCTTTCATACCACTATTCGTGCTTTATGGATGTGCTTGAAGTATCATCAAAACTGAAGGCGAAATGAGACGCTCGGACGCGCTGACTTCGCGTTGCGCTTAAGAACGACTTTTTCCTATCGAACGAGACAACTATCCCCGACATCTGAGCAAACTTTATCCTAGTTTTTCTCAATTTCACGACACTATCGAACCAAGACACTTGCGTAAAAATTACAGTTAGGATGTGAAAATCAAGGGAAGATAACGGAATAAGGCTCTCGGACTCACACGGCTCTTTCATACCACTATTCGTGCTTTATGGATGTGCTTGAAGTATCATCAAAATTGAAGGCGAAATGAGACGCTCGGACGCTCCGACTTCGCGTTGCGATCCAGAGCGACTTTTTTTCTCTCAAACGAGACAACTATCCCCATCATCTGAGCAAACTTTATCTTTCTTTTTCTCAATGTCACGACACCATCGAACCAAGACCCTTGCGTAAAAAATACTGTTGAGTGTGAAAAATCAAGAGATGAAGGCTCTTTGACTTACACAGCTCTGATACCACTATGCGTGCTCTATGCATGTGAAGTATCATCAAAATTGAAGGCGAAATGATACATTTTGTCTTGACTCAGACCTCGTGCCGCTCTTAGGGACGAGCTCTTTCTATTAAAAAGAAACATACCCCCATACTAAGGACGATCTATCTAAATCAAAATGAAACGTCCTTTCTTGACATCTCGGTAAACTCATGTTAGTTTTTTTCAATTTCACGACACATTGAACGTAAAAATTACAGTTGGGATGTGAAAAATTAAGAGAAGATATTAGATTAAGGCTCTCGGACACACACAGCTCTCTCATACCACTATTCGTGCTTTATGGATGTGCTTGAAGTATCATCAAAACTGAAGGCGAAATGAGACGCGCGGACGCTCCGACATCGCGTTGCGCTTAAGAACGACTTTTTCCTATCGAACGAGACAACTATCCCCATCATCTGAGCATACTTTATCCTAGTTTTTTTCAATTTCATGACACATCGAACCGAGATACCTACTTGCGTAAAAATTACAGTTGGGATGTGAAAAATTAAGAGATGACAACACTGCCGTGCTAAGGAAGAACGCCGTAGGAGCATCCGAGAGGTGCCACATTTTTCTTGATCAAAATGTATTTTGGATGCCATTCATGCACACTTTTCTTTGAAATTTTTAGATATTTTAAATTTTGGGAATATCAAAATACGACAGAAAATCTTCAACGTCGCAAAGTGAGTTGCATCGTTTTTCTGTTCTGCCGTAGACATGCTCGGACATGAGGGATTTGTTTCGTTTTAATAGAAAGAGCTCGTTCCTAAGAGCGGCACGAAGTCTGAGTCAAGACCAAATGTATCATTTCGCCTTTAATCTTGATTATACTTCAAGCACATCCATAAAGTACGAATAGTGGTATGAAAGAGTTGTGTGAGTCCGAGACTCCGAGAGCCTTATTCTGTTGTCATCTCTTGATTTTTCAGACTCAACAGTATTTTTTACGCAAGTGCCTTGGTTCGAAGATGTCGTGAAATTGAGAAAAACTAGGATAAAGTTTGCTCAGATGATGGGGATAGTTGTCTCGTTTGAGAGAAAAAAGTCGCTCTGAAGCGCAACGCGGAGTCGGAGCGTCCAAGTGTCTCATTTCGCCTTCAGTTTTGATGATACTTCAAGCACATCCATAAAGCACGAATAGTGGTATGAAAGAGCCGTGTGAGTTCGAGGGCCTTGTTCTGTTATCGCCTCTTGATTTTTAATATCCCAACGGTAATTATGACGCGAGTATGTCGTTAAATTGAAAATAACTGACAAAAACTTTACCGAGATATTTAGAATGGATGTTGAATTTTGATTGAGATAGGTCGTCTCTAGTAGCCGACGCGACGACGCCTGCCAAGCGACGCGACGTTTGTGCGAGCTTAAGAGATGATTCATTTCAAACGTTTTTCGCATGTGGGCGTAATGCAAAATAGATATGGTTTGAAATTTTGACGCAGTGTTCTGCAGAGTATTAAGAAACGCTCAGCATGTAAGACGGACAAATTTGTGTTCAGACCTTAACTCGATTTTATAGCAGTGCTGGGCAACTTCATAATCTGATAACTTACGAAATACATTTTACGGAATTCACACAAAATAACAAATATCTTTAGTTCCAAATGCATTGTATGTATGCATAAAATAAATAAATAAATAATACATTAGCGTCAAAACTTACGGAGAAATAGTCACGCAAAAAAAATACACGTTTATGAAACCACTCATCTTTGATAACTGTTGCCTTTGGTTTTAGTTTTCGCATTAAAATAAGACTTTTTTACCAACAGATTTCGTCCCGTTTTACAAGCTTTTTCATTATTATACTCCTTTATTTGTGCATTTTTTGAGGATAGGTTTTAATTCTTGCCTTGCCGTGTTCGCGCATTACAAAATCTTTTATTTTATTTCATTTTTGCAGCAAAAACTTGATCTTAGTCAGAAATAAACAAACTAGGTGTTGCAATTAATCGAAATTAAAATTTTAAATCAAGATATTTTTTTTGTGAGATAGAAAAGAGACGCCACGAGAAGGAGAATCCCTGTTTCTTAAAAAAACTTCGTTCTTCTCTGTTAAACCAGATAATTCTCTCAGAATACCGCCCCAGCTTTGGTGTATGACCTATTGCAGCATACGTATTTGAAGGCAATTCCATGGAGATACAAGTCCCCTCGAAAGCAATAGAAGGTGCCTCGCTCACCTCTCCTAATTGCATCCCTAAAGCTGAAGTCACACTTCGCAGAAAATTATTTGAGAGCCTATGTTATCAATTTTTCTTAAAATTACTGAGACAAAGATAATAATTTTTTACACAAAACTAGAGTCCCTTTATACCCAGAGTTAAGACAACTCGATTATCAGCTGACTCGCAGCCGGCCTTGGCTGGGCATGGAGGCCGAAACGAGTGCACCCAAACGAACGATATTGAGGGATAAGGATCAGGAATCCTGCGATGTCTGTCACACAAAAACAACAACATCAACAAATTGATCAATTAAAAAGAAAATGAGATTGGTTTGTGAATAATTTCTTAATCTATTTTCATTTTGGACCGATGGAAATAACAATTTACTCTTGATAAACCACAATTAGGTAATGTTTTCATTATTCTTGTTCACATTCGAGGTACCGCCATCTTGGTGCACTCGTTTCGGCCTCCATGAGCGAGAACCAATCAGAATTGGATTTTTTTTAGGCCACTTTCAGCCCAACCAAAAGTGAGTTGTCTTAACTCTGGGTATAAAGGGACTCTACACAAAACGTAGGATATTGTTCAATTTCATTCCTGATATTGCGGAAACTTGTTCCAAAATGGCTCTCGTTAACTTTTTTGATACATTTTTTTGATGGAAATACAAATCGCTCTATGTTCAAATCGGGGGCAACCTTCGCTTTGCAGCTCACTTGAGATGAGACCACGATTAGTGGAACGACCTTTCTTCAACCACAATTGAACTTATTCCTAAAACCAGCCCTTGCGTCTCAAAATATTTGTCAAACCATGTTAAATCAAGAGGATCTGCTCTGTCCGGTTCTCTTAAAACCATCCCGTATCATTAGGCGTGGTTCGCCTCCATTTCAAAGGGTTAGGTCACTTTTCGAACGCATGGAATATTGTTCTACTTACCCATTCAAATTTAGGAGAATCTTGTTCTGCAAATAACTTGCAACCATGCCTCGAGCGTCAAAGGAGTGTTGGTAATATTTTCATTTCAATG